GCGCCTGTCTGAACACCCCAGGACAGTGGCTCACGTTGCATTGTCTCTGTTACGGCGGGGTCAGGAGCCACTGACGCCAGCGGTTACTGTTACCAGCCTCAGCGCCGGGCTCAGGCCCTGGCTCAGCCCTCTAGCCGGGCTGCCTCTGGCCCTAGCGAGCGGCCCCTCGGGGGGGCCGGGTCAGGCTGGCTGCTCAGCAGAGGAGCGGGCTCGCCGGCGGTAGGAAGCTCCCTGCAGCCCTACCGGCAGGAAGCTCGCCGGTAGCTGTTTAAATGAACCCTGAAATTCTCCTTCACACGGATAAGAGTCAGGGGCCCCCCAAGCCTTCCCCCCCCCAGGTCCCGAGTCTGGCTTTGTATCAGGAAATCCAATTACCAGGCTCCTCAGGAGTTCCTCCTGGCCCCCCCAAGATGGTGCGTAGCTGCCCCGTGTGTGTGTGTGTGTGTGTGTACACGTGCCACGACAAGGGACAGAACACCACAACCAGGCGGTGTGTCGGTCACCCAGGGCCGTGCCCTCGGAGCTGTGGCCCAAGGCCGCCAAGCAGGAATCGGGGCAGTCCTTGGATCGCCGAGGCTGGAGAGAGGCGGGGTCCCCGAATCCCCAGGCTGACAAAGGGGGGCGTGCGTGCCGAATATGCCAAGCTCCGCTCAGCGTCGCTGTCCCTCTGCCCCCTTCAGACACGTCCACGCCCTCCCCTCCCTTCCCCAAACACCCCCGTCTCACGCCCCTCTCCCGCCCCACTCACGCCAGGGCAGGCGGTGTACCCAGAGGAGACGCTGCCCCTTGGATTCCCCCTCGGCCAACCTCGGGCTCCCCACCCCGGAGCTGTTCTGAGGGCCTTGCCCCAGTATCTGCTGCTGGGGCTGTCCCGTCTCCCCTGTTGCCTGCAGCTAGCGGGAGGTGAGCCGAGCGCCTACCTGGCTGTTCCTTGCCAGCCTGCAGCCAAGGGGTGGTCTGCTCCGCAGAGCCTTTCGGGCACGGCTGGCAGCGAGAGACCAGCCCTCCCCCAGCCTCGCTACCCACTCAATTATTGATCGTGTTACCCAAGACGCGGCAGGAGCCCAGCTCGGGTTACTGGCCCCGTCCCTTCGCCGGAGAGGGCCAGAGACAGCGACGCTGGGCTGAGCCCCCTGGCACTTTGCGGCGGACACCCCGGAAAGGGGTCCTCGTCTGACGGCTTCTCTAGGGGCACCGCAGCCCTTTCCGGGGATGGCCTGGGGAAAGGGCACCAGGCACATGGTGCGCCACTGCCCAGGGGGGTGGCAAAGAGCTGCGGGCACAGTGCAGGCAGCAGACGTTGCTGTCCAAGCTGCTGAATGCCGATGGTCCGTCCGGTTTCCACCAGCCACTTTCCACGCTGCAGGGGCAGATCCTACTCACGGTGCTTGGGCATTTCAAAGAACTGGGCTCATCGCCTGCCAGCCCCTCAGGGGGTCGGGTATCAGAATTAACGCCCTAGTGTAAAGCTGGGAACAGGGAGGTGAGGGGATATGCCCCAGGTCATGAAGCCAGGGTCTTATGTATCTGTCTTTGGGTTTTCTACAGCATCCATTGCCCTAGTATTTAAGTGCTTCCCAGGGAAATTACATCCGCCTGGCAAGGTTCCCAGCAGGTCTCCTGGAGGCTTCTGCTCCTTTCTCCTCCTGGGCCCGGCAGGAAATCCAGTGCAAGGAGGAGGCTTGTCATGCCCAGCAGCAGCCAGATGCTGGATCCACCTCATTGCCTTGGCAAACTTATTCCACGGCCAAATCCCTCCCTGCCCTGACCCCGTCGAACGGTTTGGGCCTGATCCTCAGCTGGTGTCTCAGTGCAGCTCCACCAATGTCACATCGGTTAACACCATGTCAGAATCTGGCCCTGTACCACTCACTCCTGCGCCCTGCGGGTGGTATTGTCCCGGAGGGCACAACCGCCGGGGCAGGGCACGACGCACAGCAGGAGATGAGTCCTGCCCTGTTGATGAGAGGGCTTGTGGCATCTCCTAAGGAAAGTCAGGCCCCCGCCCGCCAGAGTCTCCCAGACAAACCTCTGTGTCTTTGGTTTCCTGTCTGTCCTACAGGACTACTAACAATGTGTTGCACTGTTTCATCGATGGAGCTCAAAGCACTTTACAAAGATGCAGTCACAGGCGTAGCCCCATGTTACGAGTGGGGAAACTGAGGCACGGAGAGCTGGTTTAACTTGCCCCCAAGGCCTCATTGCAAACAGGAATCTGAAGGATTTGTGGTATTTCCAGAGCACACCTCCCCTCTGCAAGCCAGGTGTTTATGGCAGGTCCCCTGTCACCTAGTCCCTTTTATCTTACCCTTTCACCCTGTTTCCCACAGTGAGATTTCCTATAGTCCAAGAGAGGCACTGTCTCTTTGGGCCCCCAGCTGTAACCACAGAGCCGATCCCCCCGAATCCCTGTCTACACCCCCCCCCATTCCCCGCCCCCCATCTCGGACAGGCACTGCCTCTTTGGGGCCTCAGCTGTAACCACAGAGCCGATCCCCCCGAATCCCTGTCTACGCCCCCCCCATTCCCCGCCCCCTATCTCAGACAGGCACTGCCTGTTTGGGGCCTCAGCTGTAACCACAGAGCCGATCTTCCAGCAACCTTTTAGGGAAGCTCCTTAATACAAAGCACAGCTGCCAAGTTTTGCACAGCGGCATGTGTGACATTTCTCAACAGTGAGCAAGTCCCAATTCCTCCCCCCACCCCGTCCCTGTGGGAGTAGGGTCTCCGGATGTTTCACTCCATAGTCTTTATGAAAATATGCTTCCTATATGAATATGACGTCACTGAGATATACTCTATGCCAGATGGCTCACATGAAAGAGCGTTGGAAAGGTTCTGGTTTACTGACTGTGATTATCCATTGTGTTCGCCTGTATCGTTTCTGTATCTGAAGTTAGGAATATTGACCATGTATCTGTGTTTCAACTAAGCTGCTTTGGGTGACGCCCACTGGTAACACTTCAGGTACAACCATGGGAAAGCCAGACAGGGCGGATGGCCCATCAGCGAGGACAATGGGCTGTGAAAATCCTTGCCCTTCCTGTGGACACTCCATACTGCCCCGACTCATGGACGCTGGGATACTACAGAGTCGGGTGGTCTTGTCACCTGATACTAAACATTACCTGGGACTTCTTGTAACTTTCCACTGGAAGGGAGGGGTTCAAGTTTGGGAAACAAAGGATTCCCACGTAAATATTTAAACTGGGGAGGAAGGCAAACGGGACTCCTCCTCGCCATGGCCTGTCTGCCCAAGAAGAAAGACTGCAAAAGCCCCCTGAAGGGAAGGCAGGGGGAGTCCAGACTGAGACAGGGGTCTGAAAAGGAATATAACTAGAACTCTGAACCACAGAAATTTTGCAACCTGCCTAAAAATAACATTTAGGGTGAGAATTTATATTTTGTAACTTGTTTCTTCAGTATATCTAGTTTAGTTTTCGTAATTTGCTTTATTTGGTCAGGAATCTGATTTGTTCTGTCTGTTATCTCTTATATTCACTTAAAATTCACCTTTTGTAGTTAATAAACTTATTGCTTATTTATCATATAACCCAGTTTAAGTAATTTCTAACTGGCGGGGAGGGGGCAAGAAGTTGTGCCTATCTCCCTCCACATTGAGGGAGGGGGTGAATTTCATACAGCCTTTGGGTTTGGACCCTTTAAAGGGAGTGGGCAGTGTTGGCAAGCCCCTAAGGCTGCATCTTTCCAGAGTGGCTCTCTGGCTCTCTGTGCAGCTGGGCGTGGCCCTGCCTGTGTGCTTGGCTGGAAGAGGCTTGTGAGCCGAGCCCAGCAAGGCCAGGTAAAGGAGACCCAGGCTGGCAGAATAGGCTGACTCAGTGGTACCCCAGCACATCAGGTGACACCCCAAAGGGCCGAAACCCATCACACCCGGTATGAGCAGCTTTCTTTTATATAGGCCACTATGCCCCGCCCCCCCAAAAAAAGTGTCCCCATTTTTCACACTTGCTTTCTGGTCCCCTTACGTGGGAGCAGTCCATGTCTGAGCCCCACACTGGGCCACCCCAGCTCCCACTGCTAGGGGTGAGGGGAGGTTAGAGAGTGTCACACATGGGGATGCATAAAACTCCCTCCCCCCATGAAAAATGAACTGGGACCCCCAGTGCAGCCTCTTCCCCCCCAAATATGGGCAATTATTGCCCTGTTGGCCACTCTGCATGCCCCCCAGCTTTCCCGCTTCAGCCCCCTGCCCAACCCTTACACCCTCCTGGAGGAAAACCAAACCTGGCAGACCTGCTACCACTACACACGCCGGCTCACGCATGCGCTCTCTGTCACGCCCACGCCCCTGCTCGTTGGTGTGGACTCAGGCTCTTTCCACAAAGCGGGGGACACTTTTTTATCGTTTCAAATGTTTATTTTTCCAACAAGACCCCTCGGCCCCCCAGCCGCTCGGGGTGTCATTCTCAGCCCTTTAAACCGTGACGTCCCACAAGCAAATGCAGCCCCCAGAGTCACAGACGAGAGGGTTTGTGTTAACAGAAACATAACTTTCACCCACTCTTTAATCCCTAGACAATACCACTACTGCCAGTAGGCAAGGAGACGGGGGTATTCCGCGGGGAGGTTTGGAGGGGATGGGTGAGAACAAAATTAATTTCACGCACCAGCGCGGCCTATTCCCAGCATTAGTGAGATTGGGGTGGGGGGATTTCCAGGTGGGGTTTCCACTTTCTGAAACCTTTGCGAGACCAGGAGGAGAGGGACAGTGGTATGGGGCTCAGCGGTGCCTCCTTCAGGGCAGCGCAGCAAATGGTGTTTGCCCAGGAGTCATGAGCAGCCTTTGGTGGATGGTCTCGGGGCAGGCAGGCAGTAAGAGTGGGGTGGAGGGAATAGGGTCATGGGGACGGATCACATTCCGGTAGGATGACGGGGTGGGTGAAGCCTCCGGGAACTGGATTGCTCGTTCGTATCACGGATGCTGGACGGGCTCCGCGTTCTCTCATTACCGTGCTGTGCGAACCCGACAGAGAGTGCGGTTAGAGCGTGGAAAAGCTGGGCTGCGTGAGCCTGCCCGCTGGGAAGCTGTTCCCTGCCAACAGACCCGCTCCTCCGACGCCGTCCAGCGTCACGGGGTCACCGAGCAGTTTGTAGCAGATCACGAAGTAGGGGTAGCACTGGGAGTTGTCGAAGATCACGTAGAGGGCGGGCTCTTGGCCATCATCGCTGCAGGAGTCGTAGCACTGTCCGCCAGGCTCCCTCGCCGGGGGCTGGGTGTACCCGGGTCTCCCCAACGCCCACTTGCCCACCAGGACCTTGGCCAGGAACATGTGGCGGTGGCCGGCGTGGTTGGCCAGAGCGAAGTTGTGGGAGCAGTGGGCATAGGAAGAGAAGTAGCTGCCGTGGCCGTAATGGGCACCGTGCTTTCCGGAGAGACGGGGGTTAAAGTTCTCCCTGCAGATGGACGCCACGTTGTCGGCTGAGGTCCCGTGGAAGAGGTGCCTCTCCAGGAGCCTCTTCTCCTGGGCCGAGAGTCCGCTGGACATGCGCTCCTTCCGGCTGAGGTGAGTGCAAAGGAGAAACAAGGGGGTTTAGAGTCACTGCTCCCCAGCCCTGGTGCACCCCCAGTATCTGCTCCCCTGGCCACTGACCACCTCGGCGGGGGATCCAGACACGAGCCCAATTCCCTCTACGATGCGTACATTCTCTCTTCCTGCTGCTCTGCGTCTTCCTCACTAAACAGCTCGGCATCTCCTCCCCGGTCAGGTCCTGCACCTCCAGCCTCAGGGACTCAGTCCCTCGGTTGACTCCCCTCAGCTCTCCTCTTCTCTCTGCTCAGGATTCTCCCAGCTCTCTCTCCTCTCCTGGTCCATACCACCCAGCTTCCTTTCCTTCCAGCTTCCTCTCCTTCCTCTCCTTCCTGGTCCATCCCACCCATTCCCCTTCACCTCCAAACTCTCATCCCGCCCTCAGTCCCTCCAGTCTGCCCCTGAGACTGGTCCCAGGTGGATCCTTCAGGCCCGGGCGAGGGGCCCCTCCTCATCCTCCTTGATGCATCTCTCCCTCCCCTGGGGTCTCTCTCCCCTGGGCATCCCATGATGCTATGCTGTCCCGGCTCCCAGCCCCTCGGCCTTCATACCCCTCCTCACAGCATTCCTCTTTCCTGAAGCCCTCTGAAGTCTTTCTATCGAGCCGGATATGGTTCGAAAGGACACCCTCCAGATCAGCCGCAAGACAACAGGGTTGGAGTCGTTGAGGAAAATCCTGAAGCCAGATGATTGTATCCCTGGGATGGGTCTCCTGAACCTTAGACACACCTCCCTTCAGCCCACCCAGAGAAGATAACCCATCTAGTCCTGCCCACAGCACTGGCATCAACGGCTTAATGGCGGGGTTAAAGCTGGTGGCCTGGTCTGACCCCTGCCTCATCTCTCGAAGCATCCGTTCCTCTTCCTACCTGCTGTATTTTTTCCAGAGTGCATCGTTCCGGATCCTGTAAATCCTCAGCACCAGCACCATGTCCTCTGGGACAGACGCGTGGAAGAGCTCACAGATCTCGCGGTACACCGCTTCCGATGCGGCCACCTCTGCATGGAGGAAGGCCTGGCCACGGGGTGTCTGGGGAACCCAGGTGGCTGGGTACGGGCCACAGTACCCATCTGTGGGTCTCTCCCCGGGGATGGTGGACGTGGAAGGATGGAAGAGTCCCCGGGAGCCCCAAGGGATTGTCCTAAGGAGATAAGGAGATGGGAGACGCTGGCCAGTCAGAACATAGCTCGGATCCCTCCAGCCATGGAACCGCCCAAGGAGTCACTTACCGCAGATACCGTGCCATGCAGCTCAGGGAGCGGTAGGCCGGTCGGCGCTGGATCTGGATGGGCTGGACAGATCCCTGGCCTTCAGTGCTCTGCTGAGGGGGCCTTGGATCCATGGTGTAGAGTTGGCCCTGGAACCGAAAGGTGGGTTCCTGGGAGCCCCTCTCAAAGGCTGCAAGGAGGTCGTGGGGAACAGGCTGAGCAGAGAGAGGAAGGGGAGTTGAGCCCTTAGCATGGCTGAAAGAGGAAGACCCTTACACGCATTGCTGCTCACAAGAGGACCCAGTCCTGCCCTGGAGGGACCGTCCCGTCCTGGGAAATCAGTCTCCGTCTTCATCCAACCCTGGGTCGGCCATCCCATCTCCCTGGGATGCGCCAGCCCTACCTTGGAGAGCTCCCCTCCTACCCCCTTGGGGTCCACCCCCCTCCCTTCACCTCCTCGTAAGGCTGCCAGGTGTCTCTGTGCTTCCAGTACACCTGCCACCTGGTGTGGAAGCGGGGATTCTGCTTCCAGTCCGAGGTGCTGGCCAGCCGCCTCACTCTGTTAACCACGTCCGAATAGCCCAGCTCCATGGTGTCCAGGTCCAGGATCCCAAACGATCGGTTCCTAAGAGGGGAAAATAATCTCACCCGTCGGCCCTAGGGGGCCCTTTTCTGGGAGAGGTCGGGACCGGGACCCCAAAACAGCTCCAGTGGGGGAAATCTGAGGCACTCCCCGTACGCGGCTCCTTCTGCTTTTCCCTAGAGCCTCTGGCCGGGCGTGGCTGAGACGGGAGATGGTGGGGAACCTGCCTAGCCAGCACTCCCGCCCTGGCCGGGATGGGAGCAGCTGGGAGATGCAGTGCGGGCCCCCGTGGGGAGAGACGGGGCGGGAGTGTTCCCAGGCCGTACCTGTCCAAGAACCGCACAAAGCCGTTTTTAGCGTCGCCGTAGAGCTTCTCCAAGTGACGCTGAGACGAGTCGCTCAGACTCTGCCACGCTGCCCTTCCACTCCCCCTGATCTGCCAGTGGAAGGGGTAGCGGGTGTGATGGAGAGGGCAGCTCTCCCTCCGGGGACAGTGCCCGAGCAGGAAGCCGTCACAGATCCGGATGCCATCTTCCTGGTGGACGTGGAAGGGGACGCCGTCCTCGCTGACCCATCGCTCCACAGCGGGCGGGGAGCTGCACCAGCGTTTGGCAGGCATAGGGGATGGACTCTGGGGGGCTGCATCCCCCCTGGATGACGTAGGGCAGCCAGGGCTCACAGTGTTGGAAGAACTCTGATCCTGGGTAGTTTGCGGAGAGGGAGAGATGGAGACACTTTAAGGAGATGCGAAGCTGCTCTGGGACTCGGGTGTTGGGGCTCAGCCCCCCTTATCCACTGCACCCTCCCCATGTGTCTTCAGCCCTCCTCCACGAATACAGACCTGCACTGCACACCCCCACGTCAGAACCAGCTCTCCTGGGCTCCAACCCGTCCCCCCAGCCTTGCCCTGGAGGGACCCGTTCTCCTGGGCACCGAGAGGGGAATTCCCTCCATTTCTGTCGCTCACGAGGACTATTTACCTGATGGGGCTGGCGGTGGGTTGCGCTGGTCCCCTCAGTGACGGGCTCCTGCTCAGGATCCGCTGGGAAGATTTTCCTTTGGGGGCTTACCCCCAATTGGCTGAGGATCCCTATGGAGATCCTCTGGCCCATAGCCCCCCACGCCCGCCGTCTGTTTCTCTTTGAACGGGAGGGTTCTTAGAACATCGGGGTGTCCCATGACTCCGATTGGTGGGTTTATCCTGCAACACGAGGCCGCAGCCGGCAGAGCCCCCCAAGTCACCCCACAAGCGCCCCAGGGGGCCAGGAACTACCAGGGCTGCTTCTTGCCATCGGAGTCAAATGCCTTTACTTTACATCTCTTTCGGCGTAAACTATTCGTTTCAGAAACAACGTGGCAAATGTTGCCGCCCCCCGTAGCCGCCGGCGCTCAGGCGTGAGGGTGACGTGGGCCCTAGAAATGCCACGGATTGTTCTGACTCGTGTTTGCAATGGGACGTCGGGCAAGTCGGCCCAGCTCCCTGTGCTCGGTTCCCCCATCTGTGCAACAGGGCCACTCATGCAAACCTGGCTTTGTAAAGGGCCTGGAGCGCCAGAGATGACCAGTGCAAGTGTCACCCCTTTTGGAACTGAGCACTTAGCCACATCTGGGGTAGCGGGGGCGGGAGGAGAAATCGAGGATAGCATCAGAAATACCTTGTTTATTTACAAAGATTATCCAGAAAGTTCCGTTTCCCTGGGAATCGAACAGCAGGAGATGACGGTTCCTTTGCTCGCTGTTCCATGCCTGCCCTTCCCGCCTGCACTCTGTGCCCAAAAAGCTCTCTCTCTCTCTCTGCTTTCTCTCAGGGCCGTGTTACTGGCACTTCTGGCTGCTTGGCTTTTTTACTGCTTGCAACTCACTGTCCTGCTTTTCACTCGCCCACAGCCACACCCTCCCTGCCCAAACAATGCCCAACCAACCCCTGCCCCCCGTCGTTTCAATCCCTGAACCCTGAGTGGCCTTGCATGTCTCTTTGTTTTGGCCAGAGATATAGGCCTGCTTAATTGTTTCAGCCACTGGTTACAACAGGCTTCTTTACATTGAGCCTGACTGTAAAGCCGCAGTCACACTCGACCTGTAACAAGACTTGTAACTCGTTCCATCACTCTCCTGTTATTACCCCTACCTGACAGCTGGAAAACCGGAGACACCAGAAATTGCCTGGCTCGGTGTGTTTTGCAAAACCGTGTCTCTTGTTGTATCTGAGAACGGTGTGAGATTCCATACGTGTTTCCTGCTAGCGAGGTTTGTTAGGCTGCAGACTAGGGGAATGATTTGTGAGAAAATTAAGACACCTAACTTATTTCAAACTGGCTGCGCTGGCCAGAGCAGCGGAGAATACCTCCCAGGAGGGGGCAGGCCTGCGCTGGAAGAGATGGACTAGGCCAGGGTGGGCAAACTTTTTGGCCCGAGGGCCACATTGGGGAACAGAAATTGTCTGGCTGGCCATGAATGCTCACAAAATTGGGGTTGGGGGTGCGGGAGGGGGTGAGGGCTCTGGTTGAGGGTGTGGGGCTCTGGGATGGGGCTGGGGATGAGGGGTTTGGGGTGTAGGAGGGTGCTCTGGGCTGGGATCGAGCGGTTTGGAGGGCAGGACGGGGATCAGGGCTGGGGCAGGGGTGCGGGAAGGGGTGCAGGTTCCGGCTGCGGGTGCGGGCTCTGGGGTAAGGCTGGGGATGAGAGGTTTGGGGTGCAGGAGGGTGCTCCGGGCTGAGATCAAGGAGTTTGGAGAGCAGGAGGGGGATCAGGGCTGGGGCAGGGGAGTGGGGAGAGGCTCAGGGGTGCAGGCTCCGAGTGGCGCTTACCTCAAGCGGCTCCCGGAAGCAGTAGCATGTCCCTTCTCCGGCTTCTCCGCGGAAGCACAGCCAGGTGGCTCTGCACGCTGCCCCATCCGCAGGCACCGCCCCTGCAGCTTCCATTGGAGCACGCAGGAGCCAGAGCAGGGCCATGCTGCGGCTTCCAGGAGCTGCATGGTGCAGCCCCGACCCTACACTCTGGCTGGAGCAGGGCTGAGCTGTGTGGTCTGGCCCCCAACCCAGCGCCCGGCCGGAGCGGGGCCGAGCCGCATGGTGCAGCCCCCGACCCTGCTCTGCAGCGGGAGCTCGTGGGCTGCCTTAAAATGGCTCTGTCCTGCGGGCCGTAGTTTGCCCACCCTTGGGCTAGGCGGTGATTCGAGTCTTTTCCACTTCCACTGTTTGCTCAGCAGTTCACTGGAGAGTCCTTTGCTGGGCTCACGTTGCCAAAGATCAACAAGCAGGCTGATTATCGAGCAGAATATTTTTATTAAAGCGAATTCCGAAGCTGAGCCCAAACTGGCAACAGATTTGCCATCAACGCATGCAGGTACTCGAACAGGCAGTTACGAGCGTGGCACGCCCAGCCACAGTGCGTGCCGGAAACTAACTGGACGTGCCATTGGCCAGTTGGCACCGAGGTTATCTACACACGTTGGAACGCTTGGAGGTACAAAAACCTGGCCTCAGATTTGCAGGAGGGGCGAGAGTCCGGGCAGGAGATGGAGGCGGAGCATTTGCAGAGTCTCCTGGGAGCTTGTTTGAGGCACCCATTCCCCCACGTGACTGCTGCTGTTTTCATTCCCGGGCTGGCACCCCGCCCCCCTTTCTCCTATTTCCCTCCACGAGCTCTCCCTTCTCTGACCCAGGGATGAAGTGAGGTGGTAGTTTATTGGGATCTCACCTCTTTCCTGGCCACCAGCATGTTCTCCCTATACCAGGGGTGGCCAACCTGGGGCTCCAGAAGTGAATATGCGGCTCCTTGTCTAGGCACCGACGCTCCAATGGGCCGGGGGGGGGGAGCTCACTGCTCACCCCCGGGCTCTGCCCCAGGCCCTGCCCCCACTCCACCCCTTCCCGCCCCCTCCCCTGAGCCTGCTGTGCCCTCGCTCCTCCACCTCCCTCCCAGAGCCTCCTGCACGCCACAAAACAGCTGATCGGGAGGTGCAGGGAGGGAGGGGAGGCACTGATCAGCGGGGCTGCCGGTGGGTGGGAGGTGCTGGGAGCAGATGGGGAAGCTGACGGGGGGCTGCTGACATATTACTGAGGCTCTTTGGCAATGTACATTGGTAAATTCTGGCTCCTTCTCAGGCTCAGGCTGGCCACCCCTGACCTACAGCTAACCACATGGGCTTGAGGTAGGGGGGCTGGCTTGTCTGTGCCTCTGGTCTCCTTAGTCTGCACACACCCTCCAGAGGACACTTGACTCAGCTGCTTCCTGGTTGAGTTTCTGGATCCCCTCTGAACGCCGTATGGGTCTGTCAATGACTGGGGGTGCGGGGGGCGGGGCCTGTTTTCACGGTAAGAGCCTAGCTAAATCTAACACGTTTTCCGGCTGGAGTGGGAAGTGGGAAGAAGTCACAGCACGCGCGGGAGGGCTACGTTCTCAGCGCAAAGCGCGCCCCTCCCCTTTAGCACTGGATCTTCCTCACAGCCCGGGTGAATTTCTTCAGCTCCCTCTCCCCTCGCTGCCACCTCCTTACCCAGGAGATGACCAAGCGGCCAGCCACCTTGTGGCCCATGGCCAGGACCACAGTGCCCTGGCCACGGAGTTCTTCGCAGGCGCAGGTCTCGCCGTGCGTCAGCCACAGGACCGGCTTCTTCAGCTCTTCTTCCGACCAGCCTCCCTGCTTGTAGAGGGTCCGGCTCTTGAGCTCCGGGGTCACTTTCAAGTCTCCGTCCGCGCTGGACAGCGCTTTGATGCTCATTTTCAAGGCTGCGGGAGAGAGGGAGTCAGTGGGCATTGAACAAAACGCAGGGAAACAAAGGGGGTACTCAGCCAAATGGAAGCTGCTCAAAGGAATGACAAAAACTCATCTGTGGAACCTGCTGCTGCAGGAAAGTACAGCGGCAGCCAGCGCAGTGAGAATTTCTGAAGGATTAGACGTTACTGAGAGGAGCGTCTGACTCTGCAGTGACATGAGCTTAGGATATAACTGTAAGGGCAACTGTTGCTGGTCCATTTAATGAAGCAGGGCTCAGCTGTCCTGTTCCAGTCCATATGTGCCCAGCTGGACTAATGAAGAGGGCAGGGTGGCACCTGGGGGCTATACGAGGCCTCATCGAGAGCTGCTAGAGACAGAAGGTGGGTCCTGGGAGAGGGTGGAGGAAGGACAGCAGCAGAGGGAGATGCCCGCTGGCTCTAAGCCAGAGAGCTGGAACCAAGGACCAGAGAAGGCTGGAGACAGGGGAGCGGCAGAGGGGATTACCCGCTGGGGTCTCCTTGCTGGGCAGCTGGGTGCCAGAGGAACCCTGGGAGGCTCCCAGCAGAGAAGCTGTGGGGGTTCCCGCTGGGAAGAGCGGGGCTGTGCTCCAGAAGGAAGGGCTGGGGTGGCTGTCCCAGCAGAGGAGCACTGTTAAAGAGTCCAGTGGAAGACAGCAGGATGGAGAAGGAAGCTGGGTTTTAAAGCCCACCTGCCCGGGGGGTGACATGGATGATGCTGGCTGTGGACTTAGGCACTGCCTTTTGCTAATAACCCATGATGGACCATCGGGCAGGCTTGTACTGAAGTTACTGGGATCCAAGAGGGAAACTGAGGCGAGGGGCCACTTGCAGAGCTGCCCTGAGGCCATGGGGCGGTGCCCAGGAGGAGGCCACTCGTTTACAGCGACCCTCCCGCATGCCTCTGGGCGTAACGTGACCACGGGCAGGGATCAGGAAGGAGCTTTTCCCCACCTCTGGTAGAAACGCAGAATCAGGTGCACGGGGGGGATGACGATGACCCATCTGGTCCTGGTTAAGGCTGGGGACCAGCTGCTGCTCGAGGCAGACACTGGTCTGTTCCAGGAGGTGACAAGTCATTTTTTGCCCCGCGCCCCCAGCAGTCCCCTCTCCTCTCGGCTGACGAGTCTGATTTTCCAGCTGACAGCTGCTGGGGAGCCCTGACGCTTTCAACTCACCAAAATCTTGGCTGCAGAAGTTTTCCAGGAACTCCTTTTCGCTGTGCCCTCGGCTGATACAGGCTGCGCACACTGTGTCTGGCAGGGAAAGAAACAGCTGCATTGAGAACTGCGAGCAAGGAACCCTCTGTGACGGCACAACCCCGCTCAGGGCTGAAGAACGTTTCTTTGGTTTTACAGAGAGCAGAAATCACGCATCTGCCTCTCCTGGAAGACTCTGTGGATGACTGGAGAGCTGGTCTCTGTGCAATTCAACCTGACTGACTGAGGTGCGAAGGGATTTTAACTCAGATTTTGTAAAGCTTTTTTTTTTAATTTTGGTTTTTGCAAACCACCAGGGCTGGATTGACCTTTCGGGGGCCCTGTCAGCCCGGACCGTGGCCACGCCCCATGCTCTGCCCCAAGGCCCCGCCCCTGCTCGGCCTCTTCCCCTGAGGCCCCGCCCGCTGCTCGCACGGGGAAGAGGGGGCAGAGCGGAGCAGGCAGGGGTTGGGGCGGAGGGGGAAGAGAGGAGCGTGGGGGGGGGAGGCAGGGAAGGGGCGGAGAGGAGAGATGGGGGCGGAGCCTCAGGAAGAAGAGGCTGAGCATGGGCGGGGCCTCAGGGCGGAGCACAGGCGGAGCGGTGGGCGTGGCCACAGTCCGGGCACTGATGCCATTGTAAACCCGCTTCTGCTAACACCTAATTGTAGGGTGACCAGATAGCAACTGTGAAAAAACGGAACAAGGGGTGGGGGGTAATAGGCGCCTATATAAGAAAAAGTCCCAAAAAACGGGATTGTCCCTTTAAAAACAGGACATCTGGTCACCCTACCTAAGTGTCTCACCTGCCTGAAAACACTTGCAGGAAACCTCTGTTTGTTAAGGATCCAGCACCTCGGGGCTCTCAGACACAGCTTGAGAAAGCTCACAAGCCACATTCCTGAGCCCTTCGGTAAGTTTTCCAGCAAAACCAGAATTGACGTTCCTGATATTTTAAGGTAAAACACAAAGAGAGAAATCAATCGTTTTTAAAAGCCACCTTTCAGGCCTCCTTCATACATCCCAGAGAAACAAAAACTGGCATCAATAAACCAAGCTTTTCCTTTTCTTGGTCACCCGTCACTGAATTAAGCCTGGAAACACTGGAGTTCAGAGTTGGGAGGAAAGCTACGAGAACGAGTCATGCTCTGAAAAACACCCCTCCCAGCATAGACTGTTCAGCTTCTCAGTGAGAGGCTTGATATGCGCGACAGCTGTGAGTATCAGTCGCAGATCCATTGGTGACATCTCTCAGCAAGGTCTGGGGGATTTCAAATAAGGCTTGCCAGGCCAGGTGGCCTTTTCATCCTCAGCAGGCCGCTCACTTAGGAGAAGGAAAACTCCGATTTCAAACCAGAGGGTCAGGTGTGGCCAGATGACCTGTAGTTTTGGAGGAAGGCTATAAGAGTCGCCAGCCCCGAACAGGGAAATGTGAGGGGAAGAGGAATGAGAAGGTAGACGGGTGAGTTGATCGTGGTCTGTAAGTACCTACATGCGGAGAAGACTGCCCATGCGAGAGGACTCTTTAATCTAGGAAAGCTACAACAGAGCCAATGGCTGGACGCTGAAGACAGTAACGGTCAAACTGGAAAGTAGACGCAGATTTTTAACCGTGAGGGTCATTAACTCTTGGAACCGCTTTCCAAGGGACGGGGTCCATTCTTGGAGCTGTCACATTGAGCCTACAAGTTAAGCTCTCATTCAACTGCAAGGTATTTGGTTCTACAGAGAAACCACTGGAGGAAAGTCCACAGCCTGCGTTAGGCAGGAGCTGAGACTGGATCCCGGGTAACCTTAAAATCTATAATCTACTCTGGCGACGAGAACTATATAAATATCTAGACCGAGAGACCAGGGCATGTCTTACAGACGCTGTATATTGCCAGGCCACTGCACTCTGTCTGGCCCCTGGCATTTGGAGATCGACTTAATCAAATACTTGAACTTTTGGGGGGGCCGTGGAGGGGAAGTTACACGATACACAAGCATGCAAACAGCTGCAGGCTGCACAGTTAAACAAGAACAGGCATCCAGCGACCCTGAACCGGAGCCAGAGCTTGATTATGATGACCTGATGTTGAACCTCTGGTTCCTTTGCCAGGACCTCCGGGCTCAACACCAAGTGCCACCTGGCTGCTTGGCCTCACCTTCCTTCGCGAGCTGGAGTCTGTCGTCTGGGCCGGCCGGCGGGATGCACAGTTCGTTCCCCCGAGGGAACCTGCTGCAGTTGAACATCGCTGGCCAGGGGAAGCCAAAGGCAGCCATGACAGGGGTGCAGCCGTCTCTCACCGCCTCGCAGAGGGACCTGCAAGGGTAGATGGGATCCTCCAGGTCGCTGATGCACACGGGGGCGAAGAGGGAGCACAGGAATTTCTTGGTGTCCCCATGGCACTGCTTGGTGAGCAGCGGTACCCAGGAGGCGGCTTGCTGCAGAGCTTCCTTCATGCTCTCGTGGCCCAGCAGGTTGGGCAGCCGCATCTCGTTGTACCCGACCCCGTGGCAGAGGGTCATGCTGCTGGGGATGGGCTTGCAGCTGCTCCGCTGGGAGCTGAGCCGGGCCAGCTGGTAGGTGAAAGGAGCAGCCAGGGAAGGGGAGCGCCACGCCCACGCCAAGAGGACGAGGAGCAGCAGGACATCCATCGGGAGCCGGGACGGGGACTCTGCAGGAGCAAGAGGAGGCCTCGTCACTGAGGACAATTGCAGTTCGCTGGAGCTGCTAAATCTGGGAGGGAAGTGAGATGGGACCGTCCTTCCTAGAGCCCCAGCCCCAGCTTGGGTCACTAGTGGCCCAAAGTGACAACCGTCGTGCGAAATGGGTCGGGAGGCCTCAGTCCAGCCTGGTGCCCATCCCCACAACCAGCTCCCTCCAGCCCCCCCACTGCTGGCAATCACAGCTGAGCAGGCAAGGCTAGAATAGTGACTCCGCCCCCTTCCTCCCCAGAGGTCAGAGGTGAGGTACGTACAGCGCCTAGCGCAGGGGGGTCCTGGCCTGGGGCTGGGATTCCAGGTATGACTGCAATACATATAGTAACAATAATAGGCAGGACAAACCTAGGGGAAGCTTGTCCTAGATATTAAGGGTGAAATCCTGGCCCCACTGAAGTCTACGGGGGTTTTGCTGTTGACTTCAGTGAAGCCAGGATTTCACCCCTGCTGCTGTCATGGGTGGGGAGTATGTCAATCATACGCCACCTCCGGTAACTCATGGCATTATGGAAGCTCCCACGGCCTCCTGCACTAGCGTGGAGGTGCTGGCGGGGCAGGTCAGTGGGAAAGCAGTTTGTTTCATCAACACTTTTAACTTTGCTCCCCACTGAAATGCAGTCACCTCTGGGGTGGAACACGCCAGCCGTTTATCAGCAGAGACTGGCACTACACAGACGTTCAGGAAAGGAAGGGAAGAGTAGCCCTGTATCCACATGAACCTGCCAGGAGCACCCGGAGACTAAATTCAATCACCCAAATTGCAATTGGGTCAGGACCCCTGGGCTTAACAGCCCTGAGTCTTGCAAAAAATGTTCTGGGACTTTTAACCACCATCAGTGGTCGCCAGGAGCTCAGTTTTACTGCCCATCCCATGCTGCCAGTATCACAGCTCCTCCTAGCCCCCCTCCACACCCTGCTTGAGCCCTGACTCCGAGGGTCATCTCCTGACCCACCAGACCGACTGGTTGCCGCAGGTTGGTGGTTCTCGCTGCTGCTTGTGAAGCAAATCTCCCCTCACAGAGGCCTTGTCTGTGCTAGGAAAAGGAACACACGTCCTCAGCCAAGGGCAGCCGCTCTGGTGCTCCCCGGGGCGCAAGTGAGCCCCAGCTGCACCAGGGCTGGGACAGAGGCACTTGCCTCCTAGGCGAGGCCGAAGGGAACCGGTTCCCCAGCCAACCTGGGCTCTCTGGGCTGTGCAGCAACATGCTCTGACAAGGACCTCGCTCCCTCTCCCTGCTCCTCACCGCCCCATTCACCGCCCTCCCTCCCGCTCGCCCACAGAACGGCCCCTCTCTTTGTTCAGCTCCTTTCAACCAGGAACGATGCAGGCGTGAAAGAGGGAGAGCATCAACGAGGACGTGGACTCCCAGGGTCTGATCCTAGCTCTGCCACCGACTCCCTGTGAGACCGTGGGCATGGCCCTGCCCCTCCCTGTGCCTCAGTTTCCCCCTCTATAACAAGGGGGAAATTATACTGGCACAGGGAGAAACAACCCCCTCACACACACCCCTCCCTGTAGGGTGACCAGACAGGAAGTGTGAAAAATTGGGACAGGGGGTGGGGGGTAATAGGTGCCTATATAAGAAAAAGAACCAAAAATCGGGACTGTCCCTATAAAATCGGGACATCTGGTCACCCTACCTCTCTGGGGAGCTGCGAGCATTAACTAGCTCATGTTTGTAAAGAGCGCTGGGATCCTCGGGTAAAGTGGCTGGAAAAGGGCCACTTACTATTGTTCTGAGCAGGACAAAAATCCCGCCTCCCAGCTTTTCGCTTCTCCTAGCCCTATTCTATTCTCAGCTTCCACAGTTGATTCCCCAGGGGGATTGTTTCCCTGTGGAGAGCAATGCACCTTGTCTGGCTTCTTGATCTCCCCTCTCCCCTCCTTCCCAGCATCAACCTCCCGGCCTGGACCCCTTGGCCCTGTTCCCTTCTGGAGGTTTCACGCATGCAGCAAAAAGAAACTAACCCAAGGCAAAGCCGTTTCCAGCCCTCACGGTACCTTCTCTGCTGGGATCCAGGCAAGACAATCTGGAAGCGGATCGGCACCGTTAGCCTCTTGCTTTAGATCCTTCCCCTCCTGGACTTGCAGGGCTGTAAGTTCTAAGTGCCTCCTGCAGGAATTCTGACCCTCTTATAAGAACCACAAACCCTTACCTGGGAGCTCCAGCTGGCTTTGTGAGCCTGAAACCAGGATGTTTATCCTCGGAAAATTATAGGTTTCGAGAACAGGAGCGTAGACCACAGGGATGTGTTTGGTCATGACCACACAAGTGCATGTATTTAACTGCAGGAAATCCAAGGCCTAGGAAGGGGCTGTAAAATCCTGCCATGTAATTATACCTCTTTTCTCTAGCACAATAAAATCAGAGCTTCGGGCGCTGCTTTCTCCAAGCCACCCACCTGCCTCGTCGCTCCAGCCGCCCTGGCGAAGAGCCACCGAGATGAGACGTTCTTTGGTCCTGATGTGAAAACCAAACCCTTATCTTCTCAAGCACCAGCGAGGGTGGGGGTGGGGGGAGGTTACTGCCATCCAGAGCTGCAAAGAGAGGCCAGAAAACAACCAAACACCCAACAGCAGCAAAGAAATGGACCAAGATGAATTGTTTGTCGGGGGGGTGGTGGTGTGGATTTTTATAGACTGGTTTGTAAGCAAGTAGCCACAAGGAAGTTCAAAACCAACTGTTGGTGGTGACCCCCGAGGCTGCCGAGGTATCTATGATAATATATTTTGCATTTCTACTGCAGTGATCTCCAAGCACTTTAAAAATAAAAAGGGAGTCGGAATCACCCCTGGGAAGGGGTCACACCACTGAGGTCAGTGGCTCTCCACCAGGGGATGAATTTGGCCCATTAAGGGACACAGGCAAGGAAGAGAGGATGGGCTTGTCATGAAGTCACTGGATTGAGAGGAAGTCTGGGCTCCGTTCCTGGCTCTGCCAGAGGTCTCCCTGGGTGACCTTGAGCTAGTCACTTTGTCGCGCCGTGCCTCGGTTTCCCCATCTGCCAAATGGGGCTACTCCTCTTCCTCACAGGGACGTTGAGCAGGTAAATCTATACACAGTGGGGAGGAGCTCAGAATGTCAGCCAATGGGGATCTTTTTTGCAGATTTGCTGGAATGTGATTCATTTATGGGCTCGGAATTAGGCAACAGAATTCAGTCATTTCTAATATTTCACTGATTTCTAGAAGCAATAGAGTAGACACTCTACAGTTCTACAACTACAGTGATAAACTTTACAGAGATCCTCTGGAGTAACAACTCCAGGAACTTTACTGTTGTCACCGGGCTGGAACTATCTGAAACTCAGATCCTACTGCTCCAACAGCCTGGTCCCCTCCCACTTGATCTAAAGGAGAATCTCCGTCACTTGCTTGCGGTATACATGCAGTATACAAGTCGAGCAGTTCTGATGCTATTCCATAGAGGGCAGTGTTGATGCATACACCCTAGGCCAGGGGTGGGCAAACTTTTTGGCCCGAGGGCCACATCTGGGTATGGAAATTGTATGGTGGGCCATGAATGCTCATGAAATTGGGGGTTGGGATGAGGGCTCCGGGGTGGGCTTGGGGTGCAGGAGGGTGCTCCGGGCTGGGACTGAGGGGTTCGGAGGACAGGAGGGGGATCAGGGCTGGAGTAGGGGGTTGGGGCTGGGGGGGAGGCTCCAGGTGGCACTTACCTCAAGCAGCTCCCAGAAGCAGTGGCATGTCCCCCTCCGGCTCCTACGTGGAGGTGCGGCCAGGCAGCTCTGCACACTGCCCTGTCTGCAGGCACCACCCCAGCAGCTCCCATTGGCTGCGGTTCCCGGCCAATGGGAGCTGCAGGGCGGCATTTGGGGCAGGGGCAGCATGCGGAGCCCCCTGGTTGCCCCTATGCATAGGAGCTGGAGGGGGGACATGCTGCTGCTTCCAGGAGCCGTGTGGAGTTGGGCAAGCCCCCGACCCTGCTCCCTGCCTGGAGCTCCGGAGCGGGGTAAGCCCCTGACCCTGCTCCCCAGCAGGAGCTCGAGGGCCGGATTAAAATGTCTGGAGGGCTGGATGCGGCCCCCGGGTCATAGTTTGCCCACCCCTGCCCTAGGCAGTTCATTACAAGAGTAATGTCCCCAGTGAGCAGAAAGGGCCCTTAAAAGAGCCCAGCAATGCTAGGTCGACCAAGAGACTCCAATGAGTAAAGCTCCATTTGTTTCTCCCTGTGCCTGCAACAAAAAGCCTCATTCTCTTCCTTCCGGCCACTAACTCCCCTTCTCCCCCTGCCTCAGCAGCTTCTCATTTAATCCTGATAGTAGTTTAAACGGCAAAAGAAAAGGAACTCATCGGAATGGAATTGCTTGGGCTCAAAGGACTACAAGACCAGCGGGAGGTTTGGAAAACCAGCTGTGGAGGGAGACTAAAGGAGATTAATCTAATTGGTTTATCGATGGGAAGGCTATGAGGTCATTTAATCCTGCTCCGGAAGTACCCCCGTGGTAGTCAGGGCTGCCTGGCTCTTTCTTCAAGGGCCGCTCTCGTTCAGCTACAGGTTACTGGGAGGAAGGCAGGCGTCACCGGCTGACACTGTCTGGTCTGGGCTGTGCAGAGGGTCAGGCTAGATCTGGCCGTAGCACGTAGGCGCCAACAAATCCCTCAGCTTGTGTGCAGCTGCCTCCTTTCCCATCTCCCTGACAGGTGTGCCACCTGGTTAGATTGTTTAAGCTCTTCAGGGCAGGGAACCATGTCTCCAGTGCACGAACCCCATAGCACCAGGAGATCTGCCTGCGCCTGCTCTCCGCCCACTAGGACCAGCAGAATGCACACAGGGCTCCGAAAAGGCCTCTCTCTCCTAACCTGCAGCCTCCCCAGCTCTTCCTATCCTGCCTGCCCATCTGCGGACCCCCTTGCTACTCCAGACTCTGACTCCCCACCCCCAGTTCTGCCACGGCACCTCAATCCTGACTCAACCCCTAGCTGGGAACCTGTCCTGATCTGAGCCTCCCCATTACACAGTCATTCAGGGACAGACGGGGACCAGCACCCCTGTGGGAAAGACGTTCAATTGCCCAGAGATTTCATTTCCTGGGAATTTAACCAGGACGATTGAGCCTGGCTGTGCCGAGCCGACCAGACCAGCGCACTGAATCCTGCCGCCACCAGAGAGAAGGGGAAGTTTTAGCAACATTGTGCCCCTGCCCTCGTGACTGGGAACACCCCAGGGGTCAGAGTAAGTGGCTCCAGGACAGAAAAGGAAGTTGACAGAAAGGGCTGCTGGAGGAATAGGTCTGAACAATCCAGCTATAGAATTTGTCATGAACTTGAGCCAAGCCATCAATTACACTCCCCTCTCCGCTAGGCATCGTGAAACTGAAATTCCAGGTGGAGGAGAGCTTTCCCTCCTCCAAATCACAGTCCTTGAGACCCACTTGGGAAACAGGGAGAGCCCTTGGGTAACTGCTTCAGACAATCACAGACATTAGAGACAGAATGGGACTAGCAGGTCACCCAGGGTAGCCACGAGGGGGCCAGGAATAGCTCTCTGCAGTCTGTTTAACAAGGGATGGGGGGTTGCATTGCTGGGTAAAAAATCCATCTGCCTCTTTAGGGTGTGTCCTTCTAGAAGGATTCATGGCCCTGTGGGTGAGCCACCGAGTCAGGAGATCTGCATTTGGTGCCAGGCTCTGACACTGATGCACTGTGTTGCCTCGGGCAAGTCATCTGAGGCCACATTTTCAGAAGCGGCCATTGATTTGGGGAGCCCAGTGTGAGACGCTTTGGGCCTAGTTTTCAGAGGGAGTTTAGTCTCCATGGCCCCTTCAGACATTGGCCTCAGCACAAGGCTGCCAGCTACAGAGCCTAACTTGCACACACACAAACTGGGGGGTGCCCCTGCAAACAATAAACCCCTTTGTCTGCTCAGGTGCAGGATCTTTGTGTGGGGAAATCACACCGCAGCTTTCTCAAACAGCCCGCACTTTGGTTCCAGTTCTGCTCCTGCTGGCATCAGCAAACCCCCTGTGGCTCCTTCTGTCGTTTACTCCATCCCCAGGAAGTAAAGACCCTCCGGCTGGAACCTAGTTGACCATCTTGTTGGCAGGGCCTGAGCCAGACCAGATTCCAGTTCCCGCTCCCATAGCTGTTAGAGTTCTCCCAGACTAGTAGGACTCAAAGCTTGCTAGCGGCCACATCAGCTCTGCGGATGTGACTTGTAGACACACGAGAAGATGCCATTTTCTGACCACCACTGCCCAGCCTCGGGCAGCTGTGATAGCAAGTGACCGTCTGGAACCGCCTCTGATTATCATAACAATGCACAACTACTGAGGTAACTGCAGTACAAGGTGGTCAGCTGACTGCATGCACGTAGCGTTGGAGAACAGAACTCGCAACCTTCGGCGCCGAGATTGTCGGATTCGTTGCAGTCTCCCGTTTCACCGCAGCCAGTAGAGGGGATGGGCATGCCCAAAGAGTTGAGTGCCACCCAGGAGAGGGCAGTGTGCCCTCTCAGCGTATGCACCTGCTCACCCATATACATCTGACACTAGAATCCTGATCCAAACAACCTCACTGCAAAACTAATAATGCTCAAAAACGGAGATTAACTCCCGATGAGCAGGCTGCAGCTTCCTGGGAAAGACAGATGAACATTAAGTAGCTAGAGCGCTGCAGATCCCCACACAGCGCAGTAACATAACTCTAGGAGATTATTCTGTGACCGTGAAATACTCAAAGCACCGGCAGGACTTCGCCTGTTACAAGCTGAAAATAGAAATCAAGAGACTCAGCCCATGTGGAAGCCCAAAGAGGACCAGCTCTGTAGCTCATGTGATGGAAGAGAGATTAAAACTGAAACTCATTTTCTACTTGACTGTTCAAAATATGAAGCAAGAGGGGAAAGCAGCTTCCTCAAATCCTCTCAGAAAAGGCTAAAAAGCCAGGAAGAAAAATGGAACTGAGTTTGGTTAGGAGAAGTGAAAGAGACAGAAAGATAGCCTCGTAATATGCCTACTATCAGATTGGAAATGAACGGCAATGAATGGACACGTGATACAGAATCTCAGTGTCACTCTGATGCTGAATCCTAGGCTGGCACCTCACGGCACTTCACTTCATTTTGGCAATTTCATCCCTAACCGTAGGAATGCACCCGATGAAGTGAGCTCTAGCTCACAAAAGCTTATGCTCAAATAAATTGGTTAGTCTCTAAGGTGCCACAAGTACTCCTTTTCTTTTTGTAGGAGTAAATACACCAGAGGGATGAATACCAGGAAGGGAAGGGAGTTATTTCAGTTAAGTGCCAATGTAGACACAAGAGCAAACAGATACAAACTGGCCATCGACAAGTTTAGGCTTAAAATTAGATGAAGGTTTCTACGCATCAGAGGAGGGAAGTTCTGGAACAGCCTTCCAAAGGGAGCAGTGGGGGGGGGGGGCCAAAAAACCTAACTGGCTTTAAGACTGAGCTTGATAAGTTTATGGAGGGAATGGTGTGATGGGACTGCCTACAATGGCACGTGGCCCACCGACGACTGCTAGCAGCAAATATCCCCAATAGTTGGAGATGGGACACTAGATGAGGAGTTCTCTGAGTTACCACAGAGAATTCTTTCCCAGGTGTCTAGCTGGTGGATCTTGCCCACATGCTCAGGGTCTGATTGCCACATTTGGGGTCAGGAATTGTCCCCCCATGTCAGATCGGCAGAGACCCTGGGGTTTTTCTTGCCTTCCTCTGCAGGATGAGGCACAGGTCACTTGCAGTTTTAAACTAGTGTAAATGGTGGATTCTCTGTAACTTGAAGTCTTTAAACCATGATTTGAAGACGTCAGTAACTCAGCCAGAGGTTCGGGGTCTATTACAGGAGTGGGTGGGTGAGATTCTGTGGCCTGCAACGTGCAGGAGGTCAGACTAGATGATCATGTTGGCCCCTTCTGGCCTTAGTCTATGAGTCCATGCTGGAGCTGGATGAATAAGGTGTGTTGAGTAACTTTCCCAAGCTGCTCGTATAACACAGGCCACTCAACAAAGTTCAAACTCTCCCCTGTTCTGGGATTTGGTTTATTAACAAGGAAATGAATAATAACAAAATATATAGCTCAGCTCAAACTTTTCCCTCACCTGGCATGCTCTTACTATTCCTCCTGCTGCATTGCTCAGCCCACACCTTTGGTTCTCTCTCTCTAGAGAGCCACACCCACTTCCTGCATGTCCTGATGAAGTAACCAGACACCAGACCCTACTTGATCCTACTGGGAAAGGGTTAACCTTTGCTGACAGGATGGAGTGTGCCTTGTGCCTACACCCAAGAGTGCTGTGATCAGTTATCAGCTGGGAAACTTGCATTGAGCCACCACCATCCATCAGTGCAGGTGCAGTCCACTGTGTGGCAAACTGTCCTCCTCCCACTGGTGTCCCACGGCGCACTGCACAAGTGGCCTGTCTGGCCATCTTTCTGCATGTCGCTGCCCAAGTGTCAACATAGCTGAAAGCTCTGGACAGGTAGCGCTGTGCAAAGCACGGGGCTCTGTTACAAATCGTCTTCAGAGCAGGCCGTTTCATCTGGAGACAGAGCTTCCCCAGCCACGCCAGTGAATATTCCCCATAACCCACCTCGCTCAAAGGGCTT